AAAAAAAAAAAAAAAAGATACCGTTATTGCTCATCAGAATACTCAGCCTGGCCACACACAGAGACATACCCTCCAAAATTTGGGTTCAGTTTGTTTGGTGGGTCATCATCTGCTGATCTCATGGGAAAATTCTCACTATCTTGAACTGCCTCTGGAATAAATTATAATTTTTCCAAAGCTATTTCTGTAATCTCAGTCCATCCATTTAATCTGCTGTCTTCACTATCTGCTTGTCTCTCAGCCTTGCCAAGTTGTTTTCTTCTAGTCTCACTCCACCAACACAAAACAGTTAAGTGTAGATAGTACTCTCAAGTAAGCAATTGTCTTCATTTAGTCCTGGACCAGCTGAATAGTTTCTCCTAGCCATAGAGCTCTTTGTAATTAGAGTAGAGTAGAGTAGAGTAGAGTAGAGTAGAGTAGAGTAGAGTAGAGTAGAGTAGAGTAGAGTAGAGTAGAGTAGAATAGAATAGAATAGAATAGAATAGAATAGAATAGAATAGAAGCTGGAAGGGACCTTGGGGGTCTTCTAGTCCAGCCCCCCGCTCAAGCATGAGAACCTATATCATTTCAGACAAGTGACTGTCCAGTCTCTTCTTAAAAATCTCCAGTGATGGAGCGTCCACAATTTCTGGAGGCAACTTCTGTTCCACTGGTTAATTGTCCTCACTGTTAGGAAGTTTCTCCTTAATTCCAGGTTGCTTCTCTCCTTGATTGGTTTCCATCTGTTGCTTCTTTTCCTTCCTTCTGGTGCTTTGGAGAATAACTTGACCCACTCTTCTTTGTGGTAGCCCCTCAAATACTGAAACTCTGCCATCATGTCTCCCCCGTTTCTTCTTTTCTTTAGACTAGCCAGACCGAAGTCCTGAAGCTGTTCTTCGTATGTTTTAGTCTCCAGGCCTTTGATCATCTTAGTTGCTCTTCTCTGAACTTTTTCCAAGGTCTCAATGCCTTTTTTGTAGTATGCTGACCAAAATTGTCTGCAATATTCCAGGTGTGGCCTCACTGGAGTTTTATAAAGTGGTACTAATACTTCGCGTGATCTTGATTCTATGCCTCTGTTTATACAGGATTGTATATAAGGATTGTGCATACGGCTGGCTAGTGATTGTCCACTAGGACTCCAAGATCCCTAATTGTTCTGATGTTCATTTTCATAGAAATGTCCTTCACATTTATGTTCTTGGCTAGATTTTTATTCCTTTCTTCTGGTAGAAGAAATCTACTTCCTTCTCCACCTTGCTGTCCGTCTATAGATGTTCCTCAATCCAGAAAAATAAAAATTGTCTACACCTTCACTTCTTCACCATTCATTGTGGGTTGATTATAGCACCAACTGATATTATTTCAATATTTTACCTTCTGGCCTAAAATGAGTTCTTAATTTTTCACTTTATGTTTTTCACTTTCAAATGAGCTTGTCTTACTTTATTTTTCATTAAGAATAGGCATATCTGCAAAGCTTAAAGAGTGCTTCAGCCTCCCCCCTCCCAGTTTTGACACTACATTTCATCTCTCTCCACTCTGCATTTTTATGATATTCTTATTATATATACATTAAATGGAAATGAGGACAAAATGCATTTTTGTCTCGGTCTATTATAAAATACTGTTTTCAAGATCCAGTTTTTAAATAGCTTTTTCTTTACTGTTAAGTCAAGGCTCCTTTTTTGAACTGTGTCTTTGCTCCTCAGGAGTATAATCATAATATCATATTAGTCTTAATGCATTCCGTACTCTAACCTAATTTATATAATCAATGGCTTTGATCAGTCGATAAAGCAAAAATAACTTTCTGTGTTGCTTATAACATTCTGCTCTTTTCATTGTCTGAATGTATGTCCTTCTGGCCTGGAATTAGTTCTTAAGCAAAACCTTGCTTGTGAAGTAATTTATAGTTCAATAATTTGCACTTTTTACGGTATCTTCCATAGGAATATTCCATCCTCTTTTCCAATTTCTAGATTGCACAATGTTGCTCAATAATTGTTGATATAGAGCTGTTGGAATTTTAATTCCCTCCTCCTGCTTTAAACATTATTTCACCTATCCCTGCTATTTTCCTATCTGGTTGGTCTGTCTGTCTGTCTGTCTGCCTGCCTGCCTGCCTGCCTGCCTGCCTGCCTGCCTGCCTGCCTGCCTGCCTGCCTGCCTGCCTGCCTGCCTGCCTGCCTGCCTACCTACCTACTTATCTATCTATCTATCTATCTATCTATCTATCTATCTATCTATCTATCTATCTATCTATCTATCTATCTATCTATCTATCCATCCATCCATCCATCCATCCATCCATCCATCCATCCATCCATCCATCTATCTATTTTTGTCTGTCTATCTATCTGCATATCGATCTATCTGTCTGTCTGTCTATCTATATCAATCTGTCTTTGTCTGTCTATCATTTATCTTTCTTTCTTTCTCTATCTATCATCTATTTTTATCTGTCTGTCTATCTAGCTGCATATCGATCTATCTATCTGTCTATCTTTATCTGTCTGTCTATCTATCTGTCTGTCTATCTATCATTTATCTTTCTTTCTTTCTATCTTTCCTATCTATCTATCTATCTATCTATCTATCTATCTATCTATCTATCTATCTATCTATCTATCTATCTATCTATCTATCTATCTATCTATCTATCTAATTTGAATACATGCCCATTTTACCCCGGTGACTTCAACAGATCTATTATCTGTGGTGCCTCATTTTCTCTTGGCAAAATTTCTGTCCTGAAATCCTTTATGATGGCTTTACAGAATGACAGAAATTTGTTCCTTACATTGATCTGAAGTTCTGACTGTTGGGTCCTTGAGGTCAAATCTTGTTGGCATATGGGACTCTGTTCTCAATTTTCTAAGCTTAACCCACATATTTGACACCAATAATTCACAGTCCATTCCATCGTCTGCACCTGCAACTTTGCAGGCCTGACTGGATTGCACTCCTTGATCTCCTGTTTCCCATTAAGTAGTCAGTTTGATTCCAATGTTGCACATCTGGTGATCACATGTGGCTGGAAGGAGGAGGTATTAGCAATAAATGAGAAATCCTCTTTACAAAACTCTCTTGACTTTGACCCAATTCAAACCATCTATGCGTCGGGTTTTTCATTTTTCTAATATTTACCCTGCAATCATCCATTACGGTCTTTTTTGCTTCACATTTTATTTTATTTTTTGCAATTTGCAGTGGCACTCCTCCATGCCCTCCCCCCCCCTGTATCTGCATTCAATAAATACGATAGTCATTAATTTTAATCGATAGGATCCTGTCGTTTATCAAGCACTTATTCAACAATATTCTTTTTGAGCATATGGCTGCGCCCTTCCTCTGTATAATCTCATGCCTTGAATATATAATTCAGCCAGAATCAGTTGGTTGAGTTGGGCAGCCATAGAAATTGAATAAACAAACAAATAAACAGGAGAACTACGGTTATCCATTCCAGCTCACTCAAGTTCAGTTATTCCTAAACCTCCCATTTCAGATGTCCGTGAGTCACGCTTCTCACATTCAATCAGAATAGAGCTGGAAGGGACGTTGGAGGTCTTCTAGTCTAACCTCCTGCTCAAGCAAAAGACCCTATACCATTTCAGACAGGTGGCTGTCCAGTCTCTTCTTGAAAACCTCCAGTGATGGCGTGCCCACAGCTTCTGGAGGGCAAAAGCTGTTCCACTGGTTAATTGTCCTCACTGTCAGGAAGTTTCTCCTTAGTAACTAGGTTGCTTCTCTCCCTGAATAGTTTCCATGGATTGTCCTCAGGGTCACCTGGATCAGAGTGTGAAGGAGGAGAAGAACCTTCTTGGGACTGCTGAAAGGACGTCATATCCCTCCTCCTCCTCTGTTGAGGGAGGGCTCTTCACGTTAATGTATATCTATATCATTTATATCTATATCATCTATCTATCTATCTATCTATCTATCTATCTATCTATCTATCTATCTATCTATCTATCTCTATATATCTGTATCATCTCTATTACCTATCATCTATCTATCTATCTATCTATCTATCTATCTATCTATCTATCTATCTATCTATCTATCTATCTATCTATCTATCCTTCTATTCCTCACCGTTCAGTCAGAAGCTTCTTGGATGGGTCGTGAAACATTTCAAGGAAAAAAAAACCCAAGAAATTCCAGTTTCACCTTTTAGTCTCTCCTCAGAGTGAGCATAGACCTAGAGCCAAAACTACAGTCTTACTCTTACGATACACAGAACATAGAAAAGACGGGTGCTTACCGCACTCATGAGGGAATCCAGGACACTAACCGCGAAGGCGGTCCCGCACGCAAAAGGCTGGGTTAGATACAATTCGGTATCCGGATCATCGTCATCATCTTGATCCAGGAACTGGACGTTGGAATCATTCACTGAAAAGAAAAGGACAACGTATCTGGATCTGATATCTGATATCTTTTACACGCCCTAACATGAAGAAGAAACACAGCGCCTGGGCAGAAAGTTCCGTGCCTTGAATGTTTACATGTTGCTGAGAACAAAATTAAAATGTATGTGGAATCTGCCTTTGGGGGAAAAAAGAACATTTGTTTGTCTTTATGAAAGGTGCAGATGTCAAGAGTAGGAACTCTTCAGTGGCCCGAGTCAGTATTATTTGGGATGTTTCCCAGAAGTCCTTGACCATTCATTTGGCGACCGTTCAAAGTTACCATGGCACTGAAATAAGCAACTTAGGACCATTTTTCACATTTAATGACTGTTGCAGCATTCCCAGGGTCACATGATCAAAATTCGGAACGCTTGGCAATCGACTCGAATCCGAGGGCAAGGAGAGTGCAGCAGAGGCAAATTCAAAGGAGGTCTGTGAGGTTGTTGGTGAGGAGGCCACCCCATCCCTCCTCAGAAGAAACACCTGGCTTGGACTGATTTAACCAGAGACCAGGGGAGGGTGCCTTCATCGGGAAGAATTCTTTGCTTTGGCACACACTTCCCCAGCCTCTGTAAACTCTGCTTCTTTGATGTCAGATCGTGTTTCTGCCCTGTGCACTCTGAACCTTGTTTGTGGACTGTGGAACTGGCCTTGTGGACTTTGAACCTTGTTT